AGACTCATATATGCATGATCATTTGTAAATTTACAGTAACCTTTTTGTTTAAGGTTTATTTAACTTTAATTAATAGCATTATTAGTTAGTCGGGAGAACTATGTAGGGCTGTAAAACGTAGGCTCCCAATGAATATTAATACCTGAACATGGAAAACATAGAATTTGCAATAGTGTTGCAGTTGTACAAAAAGCTTCGACTTTTGGCCCTTTATAGAGGAAAAGGCACAAGCACAGCACAGACTTCTTTGAATTGTTCTAATTTTTAAATGCATCCATCATGCAGCAGTAGAACTGCTTGGTGTTGGTTTTACTACACTTTTATAGCCCTAGGTTATAAAAAAAATTAAAATAAAACTAAACTATAAATTAGAGTTATTTTTTATTAGCAGCTTATTAGAAAGATTGAATTCTGATCACCTCGATTAGACTCCAGACCTGAGTATTCAAAGTTATCTGATAAATGTCAAACAAAGCAAACACAAAAAAAATTAACAATTAATTTCAGAGTCATGTGGTAGGTGGTACAGTGCACATAAAACACACACGCACACGCACACACGCACGCACACAATTGTGATTAAAATACAGGACATGCATGTTGTAATTGTGCTTACCAGCTTGAGAGAAAGCTTCATGTAAAAATTGAAGGAACACAGGAGAAAAAGAGAAAAAAGAACAGTGCATCAGTAGAAAAGGAACTTCTTTAGTCCCACTGATATTTTTTTTAAAATGACACGCATTCTCCTCACTGTTGGTACGTGGAAATGGGTAACACTTGTAACAGATCTGTGCAAAAGTTCACAAGATGGGGCCAAATGGTACCATTCAGCTGCCTTTTTATCAGTGGAAACAAAAAGAAAACACATTGTACCTCTTCAGGTTTGCTTTGGCATTGCAAATGAAAATGTGACACGGGCTGGCTTAGTTTCAGTGTCTAAGGCAGCAGTAGCTCCTTGCATTAAGTAAACCCTTTATGCAGGAAAGAACAGAGTGCTTTATATACATTACTAATTGGGTCACCTCATTCCTCCCTGATGATGTGCTGAAATGTGGCCACTTTTTGAAGTGAAACACGACACACCAACCCTTACTACCATACTGATGCCTTCAATTACAAAAGGAAGGTATCCTCCGGGTAGCCACCTCTGCCACGTTCTGTGGAACCCGGGGCATTCTTTGCAGATTCCTATCCATATATGAGAGCGCTCACACTCGCTGAAATTGTGAAGTCATACAAGATCAAAGCAAAAAAGGACAAAAGAAAAAAAACTCTCCCCCTTATTTTTTACCCAGTTATTTCCAGGTATGATTCTCACTTCTATCTCCATGACCACTCTAACAGTTGATATGCAAAATTCTTAAATGAGATATCTGATCTGGTTTCCCAAAGGCTACTACTCTCTTTTCTTGTGAGCAGGCAATGGATTATCTAGCATTCAGTTACTCTGTACACTACTGGCCCTACAAGTGTGATGCATCTGTTTTAATACCAGATTAAAACAGATGCCCCTGTCCTGCTTCCCTTATGCATGTAGTCCTCTTCAACGGAGCTGCAAGGTCACAGAAACTGGCAAATGAACAAATTCACACAGGCAGCTGCCCACCCAAATTACCCGCTGCGTGTAATGGCTTGAATGCAACAAAACACTAGTCCCAAAACTGTATTTAAATTTTCTCTTTTCTCTGTTCCAAAGCAGAAAAGGCCTGGTGGGATGCAAAAATATATCTTTAACACCGTGAGATACCCAGAAATCTTAAAATACAGATTATCTTTCCATTAAAAAAAAAATCACATGCAATTAAAGCAGGCAGTGAACTGCATATTGTGTTCTGGTCTTTAATATGCTACCAGATATTCTGGTTTTAGCTCTAGTATTAAAGAATAGTGCTTTTTCTAATGTAAAGACAGTGGGACACTGGAAACTCAGGTCTGATCTTTTTGAGATTAAAAGGTGATTTCCATTAAGTCTTTAAAATACAACCTTGTATATAGAAAGGTCAATTGGCAGAATCTAACTATAGTTTAGAATAAAAACAGGACAAGCACTGAAGCAAAAAATATGGTCTAAAAACAAATGATGCTGCATTTCACCTGAATTCATTCTGAATCCCAATGCTGCAGCAATATAACAGGCTACCTTCTTCCCCGGCACTCAAATCAACCCAAAAATAAAAATATGCTACCAGCCACAGTGCACTATAGGATTCAACTCACGCTGCGAGGAGGCCCTTGAAATGATCAAACAGAAACAATCCCTTTTTGAAGGAAGAGGAATTATTATTCAAATGGAAAGAGGAACAGACTAAATATCTTGATGAAGAAAATTCAGTCTAGGCAGCCTTTCTTTGGGTAATTGCTTTAGCATTCCTGTGAACTTTAGCATAGACATGGTCAGCACGAGTCAAAATCCTTATATGCAGATACAGACAACACTTATGGTGCAGGAAAAATATTTACCTACAAAGCACTCTATAAGGCACAAATGTATGTATGCTACATGCGCTACATTCTAAACACTACTCACTTGAAAAGCTAAACTACAGCCAGAGTTATCAGCATTAAAACTATTCTTTTGCTGTAAATTCAGCAAATGTTAAGGAATTATATGTTGAATACTTATGTTGTTAATTACTGCAAAAACCAGAAACTTTATTAATAACATCCCAAAAAAGGTCACCAGGCATTGTTATATACAGCATGAATAACAAAGCGGTAGAGATTCAAATGGATGGTAAATAGACGGAAAACAATGAAATGCTGAAATTAAAGGCATATTCAAAGCTTTCTGTCTTTGGAAAGTACTGATAATTATACAGCAGCGATTCAATTGCTGTACATCTAAAGCAGATCGAAATTAAATCTGTATTAAATGCATTCACTAGGTGACTACTTTTTCACCAATTCTGTCGGGTTTGCATAGCTGGAGATTTGCTTGCATCTTGGGAGACTGAACTTTTCTTTCAAGGATTCAATAGTTACATTTCTAGAAAATGCAAGGAGCAAATCCTTCCCAAGCTGCCAGTTTAAGACTGATCTAACTTAGCTTTGCGGGGAACAATGAAGAGCCTAAGAGCCACAAGCTTCAATAACACATGAGAGAGCATGAAAGCCAGCAAGTCCATGTGTTATTGGACAGTCACGGACACTAACCTCACTTACAAAAAGACTGGGGATTGAAATAAACCACTGGGCTTCTACAGTATCAAAGAGTAAATTGTTTTATCTCTGATCCTGGAACAATCTCGTCTGCTTTCTCTCGGCATCATGTTTAGAAGTCACAGCTCTTCACCCCATGGACAACAGGGAAGCTTTAGTGAGGATGGCAGCCTAATTTCAAGCTCTATGTAAAAGCACTACGTGTACCACAGCACAATGGCACTTGCATGGATGGGCCGCCATTCTCCACAACCAGGGCAATATTTACAAAGAACCAAAAAGATCATTTTGACCAAATGTTGTGGAACCCTCTGCCCACACTTTTCGTGCAGAATAACTCAAAAGCGAAGGTGAGCCTCCAGATCTACTCCCTCTTATGGTTATTACATGGCAAAGCGCTAAAATAATTTAGGAACTCTATCCTGCTTTCCTCATTATAGCACACTCATTTTAGGTGGGTTCCACAGTAGTCTAAATTCCCTGCACTGAGAAAAGCCAATTTCAGCTTTCCCATGACCGACAGGTGTCTCTGTCATTTCTGCCAGTAAGTCATAGCACTCCTCTCCCTGAACTGGCAGCTGCCCTACACCTTTTGCAAAGTGTATTTCCACCGAAGCACCCTCTTGCAGCGTTGTAAGTGGGGTTAGCGACCGTGCAGCAACTGGTATGGGTAGGTCACACCATACACAAACTTACAACATAGTCCCTAGCCTCAAGGGCACACGTGGGTTTCCCTAAAGTCCTCTTCATGTGTTCTTTGTGAAAACACGCAGACTGAGTCTGCTGGCGAGTCAGCAAGAGAAAACACACATTCGTTAGAGGGGAAGCTAATAAGAAAACCTCTACATTTACTGTTTCTACAGCAAAAAAGATAGCTCAAAATTTAATCAGCCCTTCAGCATACTGAAAGGAACCTGCAAGGTGTAAAGAAAGTACAGAGGGATCATATTCTTTAGGTAAGAAAGTTAACTAGCTCCATACATTTCAAGGCTAGCGTAAACATGCCAAATTAGAAACCAGACTTTGTTCAGGCTGGAATAAATTAAAACTTCTTAAAAACCGGTCTTGGCACAGGTGATGCATTTAAAGAACAAGTATTCCCAAGGGCAGGGAATGGAGTTATTTTTCTAGTTTGCTGACTCTGAATATCACACACTAATGAAGTAATATTCACCCAGGCAGAGTGACAGTTAAGGTGGTGTGTCAACGAGAACAGCACACAATGTGTCACAGAGGAAAGACGAGATGATCAAGGAAACATGGTCATTGGTGCAGTGGCAATTACAGCTATACTGTAACAAAGTCAACAACTTCCACTAAAAAGGAAACCACAAAAATCTTTCGATTGCGTTCAGTGGAATGGCTTGGAGGGTGGCATTCGGCTGATCCCAGTCATATTCCTGGCTTTGGGGTTTTTTATTTCATGATGCCCTGTTTAAGTTAATAAAAGAGAAGCAATGCACACCTGCAGAATACTAAGCAGAAGGAGTCAACGGTATAAGTTCTACCCCTGGATGTTAGTTTTAGAAGAGTTTTCCTTTAAATAAAAAGCTTGTGCTATTGCCACAACAATTGTAAAATAAAGGAAAATACACAAATCAATATCAACTAAAGATGAGCTTTTCTGCCCTCAAAATGACATTTGAAAAGGCAGAGCCAAGCATAAATGAAAGTATGAGTTATGTAAGTGGTTCCTGTTTTTCTCTCTCTCTTTTCCTGTATTTTTTGGCTTAAACTTCCCTACAGGGCCATAATCATTTAAAATATAATACTTCTGAAGGACTTCTTAAAAGTTATCATTGTTGCACATAACACCTTCAGATGACTATCACTAAAAACATTAAATAAACCATTTTCTCTCAGTTGCTAGTTTAATGACAGCACCATGTATGGATTTGATTCACAGGTTTCCTTATGCTAACCATTTCTTCTGCTGTAGGGGCCTATCACAGCAAAAGGGGAGACCACAACTTTGCAGAAAATAGAAAAATATTATTAGAAAACCACAGAAACGGGCAAGATACAGCGCTGCAAAATACTTGTATGTTATTTAAGTCAGACTAAGATTTTCAGTCAGCGCTAATCTATGGATGCAAATGGAAACCCTTTTGACTAACCGAACGTCTGCTGCAGATTCATTCTTTGAACTTCTATTCATTTCCCAGGGAGGGTTCAAGGAATCCCTAGTTTCGAAGCATAAAAAACAGGCCGCACAGAACGAGCACTCTATACCACTTATTTTATTATTCACTGGTGGTTTTCTCTGCCTTTTCTTTACTGGACTTGGAGTTATTACTCCCAGCCCCTGTGCAGTATACTGTCTTGTGCTAAATAAAAACTTCTTGCAAAAATTACTAGAATTTAATGAATATCTAAATATTGCATTTAAGTATTATCTGAGTAGAGATTTATTTGTCCCAAGTGCCCATTAACGTGCAGACTGCACCTTTTGGTTGATCTGAAGATGCAGATTCTACCAGACTAGCTCACACTGAGTTGCCTGCTACCACGCAAGTAAAGAGGGAATTCAGAATTAACTCTCACTGAAATCAGTGTGAATCTTTCCAACCGTTTCTAGCAGAAGCTGTATTGGGCCCTGCAGAATCACACCATATGAATAAAGATGACAGAATCTGGCTTTTGTTGATTAGGGTAACTAAATAATCTACAAGTAATATTTAAATGTCTATGGTGGACAGACTTCATTGCAAGACATTTGGGGAGGAATGGGAATGCATTTCTTCTCTGAGCAAGAGCCAGGCATTCATGGAACAAATTAAATATTTGGGTTTGTTTTGCCAAATATCCATTAAATCGCACTGTCCTTTTGATTTCCTGTATTTCCTTTCTAACCATTGCTTCTCATCAACATTGCTGTTTGCTGATAAAAGCCTTCTTCAGTATAGCTAACTTCTCTCACCTTCTCTATTCCCATTTCTTCAGCAACCCCTCTGCCCGGCATTTGTAACATCAGTGCTCCCCTGTCGCATGTCAATTCAGGCGCTATTCAATTCTGGATGAAGGAAAGTAATTGCAGGGCAGGCAGGCCTTATAATATCATACTATAAAAGCAGTATGAATATGGGCCCATATTCTCATCCAGCTGCAGTCCCATGCAGAGACAGGGCTGAAGCCAGTCTGTGCTACAGATGAGTGCCTGGGTAAGACTGTATCTGCACTAATACGGGCCAATTATACTCATGTGTTAGCTTTACACTAACAGGATTTTAAGGCCAGAAGTGATGTTTATGATAATCTGCTCTGACTTCCAGCATTATGGAGACCACAACATTTCTACCAGTAAGTCTTGCCATGTAGGACCTGTGAAATATCGACTCTATAAACGCTGGAGCCTGTCAGAGCAGCCCGTCTCCTTTCTTCTGTATTTGCATATGGAGTAAATGCTCTGAATTTGCCCCTGCTAGAAAAAAGCATGATGCTCTGCACACTCACTTAACTTTGCTGAATGAATCAAACAGGGAAAAATACATGTTTACATACAAACTCCTGGTAGTTAACAACAAAAGGATGTGAAAGAGAGAGAAACATGCCCAAAGGTTTAACAAGGCCTAGAGAGACTTTTTTCTTTCCTTTCTCTTTTTACATTAAATATACCAGTGGGTAATTAGAGTGATTCTTGAGAAAGCTTTTTATCATTACTCCAGCCTTCATTCCAATTGAAAACGATATAGTATACACCACATGCCTGTGAACTCAGTGAGGGGGTATTACAGCTGTCATTTGATCAATGTATAAAAGCAATTCTTCAGTACAGTGTGTGAAGCAATTAGTCATAATTGCTTCCAGAGCCAAATATTTAAAGGATACAAACATATACTTGTGCAGTGCCCATGGTACTTTTTTATGATGTGAAATAATAAAAACACATTTACACTAAGTTGAAGATACCCAACCCTTGTTTGACAACATTGTCCAGTGAATGGTGCTGTTTCTGGCTCTCAGAGGACCAGACTGTGATATATGCTATCAATGCAAAATAGTGCTTTAGTCTCTGAATGCTCCCCGTTTAAATCAATGGAGCTGCCCATGGAATAAGATGCTCCTTAACACAAGACAGACCATCAGACTGCACTGCTGTGAAGGCTGCCTGTGGGAAGCTCTCTCGTACAAGGCCCCTAGTTCTCTGCTGCAAAGCAGAACTGAAAAAATAAGCTTCCTCATCATAAGTCACTAGGAAATGTTGTTGAGTGGCAAGTTCTGTAATTTTGTGGTGGAAGGAAGAGATTCGTTTACAGAACCAAGATTCTGGCAACTGAAGCTTTCAGATTCCCAGTGGTTTCTGATGGGGAAACTGATTGTATTAGTCCTCTTTTGAATCACAAGTTGTTTCTTGGTAGTTCCCTGATAAGGAATTAAATCCCTCTTTCGCATACTTAAAGGGATTCCATTTTTCATCATTTACTCTGTTTGCCAAACACTGCTTTGAGAGGTAGGTAACTATAAGTGGGCCAGATTATCAATAGGAGTCCCTAGGAACAGCAGGATTTGACCCTTTTTAACTAGTTGCTTTCTTACTGTTACAGTTTTCCTTAAAGAAACTCAAATAGTTATAGCATCTTTCTATACTGTTTTACTATGCTTAAAAAAGAAAACAATCCTAAAGGAAACTACCCAATAAACAAAGGCCATCTGGTGCTATCTGCTTTTTAGCACATGTTGGAAAAGCAAAAATGCTGTCTTTTTGTTTCAGAAGGAAGGAAAATACCCCCTTAAGTGTGCTGTTTTAAAGTTACCAAAGCCAAATATAGAAGGCCATCAGCAAGAATACATTTCAATGTAAATGCCCCAAACCCCAGTTTACAAACTTCAGCACGGGGTCGGCAAGCTGGCCACTGAAATCACATGAGCAAGGACTCCTGACGCAAGTACTAGAGGTTCAGTCCTGTTGTCTCATGTCCACGTGTGGACAGTTTACACTCTAGTCTTTATATATTTCTCTCTCTCTGTCTAACTAGGAGGCTGTGCATGGACAACTTTATAAATGTCAGCATCCATGTACACATGTATGCCTTAGCCCAGGCTCCTGCCTTGGGCTGAGGAGTGTCCTTGGGAGAGGGTGGTGCAATGGTGGCTTTAAGCCACTTGGGCTAGCTGCCTGGAATAAGTTAGAGCAGCTTCAAGGCTCCAGTTTCTGTCTGCTGCCAATGACCCCAAAAGGCCCAATATGTCAGGCAGGAAAGAACCGTTCCTCCCCTCATCCCTGGCACATCCTCTAAACCAGCAGCCAGGACAGGAGCGTAGGACCGACAGCACCATCTGGAGTACTGATCTATCTGGAGGCAAAACTCCCAGGACAAGCTGCAACTGCTTAATAGGCTCTTGGCGCTGTTGGAACAGTGCAAAGCAGCAGCACCACAAAGCAGCTTTACACCGTAGCTATTTAAAGAGCTCGTATGCTTTAAAACCCCATGCACATAGGCTGATGAAGTTCTTACATACACAGTATAAACCGTGCAACTCCTGCTGCTGAGGAGGAAAGTTATAGATTCATAGATGTTAGGGTCGGAAGGGACCTCAATAGATCATCGAGTCCGACTCCCAACTAGATTAGATTCTGAACTAGATTAGTTCAGAATCTAGCAGAATCTGGAAGCTAAATGGGAAACATCCAGAAAAAAGGTGTCTGGAAACAGCGGTCTGCAATTGTGTGTGCCACTATATTGAGGGAGGCAACAGTCTAAAACAAAACAGCTAAGGGGAGTCAGGAGCCCTGAATTTTTCCCCAGTGGTGCCCTGGCTCACTGTATGATCTTAAGCAAACTCTCCCTGGGTTTCCTCTGTGCCTGATTTCTCTCTTTCCACTTTGTGCTTAGACATCCAGAGCTGCAAACTGCTAACTGCTGTCACCAGAGCAGGGTTTTTAATTGAATTTATTTTTAAATGCCAAGGAGGAAAACAAAAATAAATGGGAAAAAGATGAGGAAATGTTTTTCCTTTTTATTCGGCCTTTCTATTTTTTAAAAGGTAGCTTCAACACATCTGACTCATCTAATTAGGTACAAATCCAGGTGTAAATATGAAATGTGTGTTAGTACCCAGAACATCAGACAAGTGCGCAGAGCATGTCACCGGGAATCTGATTATTTAATATTTCTATAACATATGAAGTGAAATCTTTATGCACTCCTGAAAGACCACTTTGTGCAGTTTGGCTCTGGGGATGCATCAGCTCTGAAGCTTCAAAGTCAATACTAATTACCAATTCAGTGGGGGCAGTAGATTCTTCTCCCCATCAGAGCCAGGTTCCCAAGTGAACCGGGCACACCTGAGGAGGGACTTGCTTTAGTTCTGAGCTGATTACATACATTACCAACCAGGGGAAATTTCAGCTTCTCACTTCACCTGTTTTCTCTTCTGCTCTTAAGACACCACGCTTGCTATGAAAGGCCTGAATCTTAGAGAAACTGATATCAGAGGCAGTTGCAAGGGCTGGCTGCCTGTCTGAATCAGTCTCCAAAACAGAAGCCCTACACAACCCTTCCAAAGAAACTCATGCTACTCACAGTGCGACAGACAAAGACCTTTTAGCTGTGACCACAGACTTGACGCACCTGTTTTACATAGTGCCTGACTACTTCTCACTGAACCTGGGGCGTTCTTGTCTGTATTCTGCCTGATCTCACAGTCCTAGAGTTTGACATTCCTTTGTAAAAACAGTATCGCACTATTCACACTATTATTCCAACGAGTCCACTTTATAAAGCAGAAGACTCCCTGAAGCAGAGGTAGAAATGCAAAGAGGCAGAGGGTAGCAAATGCTTAAATATAAAAGTGTCAGGTCTGTAGTAACCCTTGGAATTTTACAGTTCCCTTCCCACAGACATGCCCCCAAAGTCCACTAAAGCATACAGATCCAGGGAGTGTTGCTAAATTGCTCCTTCCCTAATTTGGAACACTCAAGCAACATCTAATTCCAAAGCTATGGGTCATTTCAAACAGGGCTGCGTTTTTGTGGTTTCATTGTGGGGTTTTGACTACAAAAGACTTGACAGTCTCATATTCCTTGGATTCGTCTGCATGTTATGGTAAAACACAATGGGTCCATTCACAAAACAAAACGAGTTTTTACATAACAGAACATGCAATAAAAGCGCGAGAGAGAGAGAGAAAGAGAGAGAGAGAGGTATCCAGAGGAGAACTTACCCCGCGCTTTAGGCTCCTGAAGCAGTGGATTTTGGGTTTGGAGGTCATGAACTCGTTGAAGCGATGGGAGAGGGGTTCCTTTTGCTGCTTGGGAGACTGGGGGCCGTTGGGAACAGCAGAGGGTGAGGCAGAGGCAGGGGGAGGAGGAGGGGGCTGATGGGGGGATGTTAAAAGGGACATAAGCTACGTATAAGAGATGGAGAAGTGACAGAATAAAAACCAAAATAAAAAGATAAAACACAAAACGAAAATAAGCATCAAAAACAATATTTGAACATCCAGAAAAAAAACAATTAAATAATTAAATATTTAAAAGCCATGGTTCAACAAAGAAGGGGAAAAGGAGCGTTTAAGACTTGCGTTAAAAGAAGAATGTGAGAAAATGGGTGGGTTAGTAACGCAACAAAAAAGCAACACCAAGTATCTGACAGAAAGCTCATGCAGACTCTTCCATGCAAATGCTACACAAATTCCCCTGTACTAATTCTGTGGGCAGGTCAAAATAATGCATATGGACAGATTTTTCCAACTGCATATGTGGACACAGGCCCAATAAGGAAGGTACCTTAGTGTCCAGAGGTATTTCTATTATCCAGAAAACAAGAAGGCTCATTTCTTACTTCTTTCAAATCATGCTGCTCGAGTTCTTAGCTTTTTAAAATGATGCTGTAATTTTATGCTATAAACAAATGCAATGGAGGCATTAGGCCCAATTCTGCTTCCAGTCAGAGAGCCTGATTCTCCCTTGCCCTGTGTTTTAAATGGTCACTTACACCAGTACAATACAAGTGCCCCTTTATGATTTGGTAGCTCTTTCCACTCACTCTGCCATCAACATAAAGGGTCAAATTAAGAGGCAGAGCAAAGAGGATGAGATCAGATCAGAGGTCTCACTCTTGATTGTAGTGGCATAGCTGTGAACAAGCTTTGTCCCATCACTCTGACACCTTCCGAGAACCCCAGGTAAACATGGCCATGCATTATGATATAAAATACAACAATGAAAAGAAAACGGGTTTAATGGATACAAAGTTAGCGTGAGCTTAAAAAAAGTCAACTGCATTGTAGAGGCTCAATTAGTTGTACCGAGAAAGGATGAGTTACCGCAAATCCCCATTCCCGGCCTCCCCAGCCACTGCTCCCACTGAAACAGTAATGCAAAGAAGCACGGAGAGTTTTAGGAGTGTCAGAAGAGCGACACTGTAATAAAGCCGCCCCAAAGTAATGATGTTAGTTAGCACGCGTAGCATTCCAGAAGTGAATACAATCCCCGCTTTGAATTAGAAAACAGAAATGGCCATGGCAAAAGACATGACAACTAAAAAGTAAATAAATCAATAAGCAGCAACAGCATTTAAAATTATACAGGAAAAAAAATATTTTGAAAATAAAACAAAATTAAAAAGAAAACTACAACAAAACACCTACCAGGACAGCTATTAGCTTTCTGCAACATAAATTCTTTAAAAAAAAAAATAAAATCTTACTTGCCAGGACTTTTAAAACAAGACAGAAGTTACTGGCTATAAATCTACTAACGCTGAGCTGAAAACTGGAAGTCAGTACCTTATTTTTCTTGATGAATGGCCATAACTTGCCCTTCGATTTGCCACCAAACTTGGGCTCAGATTTTCCATCCCCTCTGGAATTGGAAAGGCTGGATTCAGAGACAGTGCGCTTCATTGGCTGAGTGAAATCCTCGAAGTCGATATCTCCCGGAGGTTCGAACCCTGATTTAAAGGCTTCTATTACCAACTGCGAATCCTGAAATAGATCCAGTACACATATGAAGTTGCTGGACAAAGACTATGGTTACTGATACAATGGAACTCCAGTGAAGGTAAAGCCCATCTGCTCTATTAATGAGAAACAACTTTAATGTTAATTAGTCTTATGGTGCCATGAAAAGTAGAGTGCTATCCTGTCTAAACTGGAAGTCTGTCAAGTCACACGTTAGCCACATACTATATGCAATTATGTTACCTATGTACTGACAGATAACAACTGATTGATGCATAACATGCTTGCTAGTTGGAACTACAAATGTAACAGATTTTGATGGGTAGTTTCAGCATCAGGTATAGCAGTAAGGTAAATGCATTTTAATCTAGCATCAAGATGAAAACCATTCATCAGGTTGTCTGAGACCAATCAGCTGAACATAAGCTTCAAACACAGAAAACATTACCATACATTTCCACATATAGCAGGGGTCGGCAACATTTTTGGACAGAGTGCCCAAAACACCCGCAACCTCGACTTGTAAGATGTTGGCGTGCCAGTGGCGGAGGTGGGGGAGCTGCCAGGGGCCTGATCCTTGCTGTGGCAGCACAGCCCCAATCCCTTCCCCACCATCTGCCCCAAGGTGCACGTGCATCTGCCACCAGGAATGAGCTGGGCCAGAGCTTCGCAGAGCCCGACGCAGCATCCTGGCTGCCTGCCACAGGTGACCCAGGCTCTGGGCAGGCCCCTGCTGCCCACCATAGAGCCTGGGCTGCTTGCAGCAGGCGGCAGAGAGGCTGCAAGCAGTTGCACCAGGGTCTGCAGAACCATGGCCCAGTTCACTGCCAGATGTGGGTGCAAGCACACCTCAAGGCAGATGGCGAGGAAGGGGCCAGGTCTGCACTGTTACAACAAGAATTGGGCCTCTTGCAGCTCCCCCACCATCCCCCCTTAGGTGCACGTGCCAAGCAACATGCCTTCGCATGCCATGTCCCAAGGGTTGCCAACCTCTGACATATAGCATGCACTCCTCCTCTCCCCCCACAAAAAACTGGGGAAATTTGGGGTATCATGTGCAAAGAAAAGGGCTCCCTATGGGTCTAGAAATTTGGTGGGAGGGAGAAAGGGAGAACGGTGGCAGCCATAGCAATTCACGCTACCACAGCTTCTGCCCCCTCCATTAGGTGCCAAATTTCCAGATGCAAAAGGAGCTCCTCTCCCAGACCATACACCAGATCAGGCTGGCATGCAGAGCTGGTCTGTGTGGGGCCAGGGCACCAGGCATGACTTAGCAAACAGCTAGGGTGCAACCCTGCGTGCTGGCTCTGGAGCTGTGTCAGGTCAGACCCAGAATGCCAAATCTGGGATTGTGCGCTAAATCTGGGACCACGAGCATGGTTTTAGCACCAGCGTGCCAGATTAGGTCCCACCTTTTTTCCTTCTTGGAGCCTTCCAAAACAGGCTGTGTGTTATATTCAGAAGCATAAAATAAATGAAAAAATACTCCCCCCTCCAGCCCCCTCAATACTCTTCCCAACATACCTATCATCTAGCAGCCTTTCCTGGGAAGCAACTCCTCATTTTACATCATATATACATTCTCTTTCCAAGAGCATTAGAGAAATTGCACCATAGCGCATACAGGACTCAGCCACTGACGTTAGGAACACTGTTTAACAGGAGCAATTGAAAGTGAAGGCTGACCTCGCTGCTTTGACCATATTTCATTACTTTTGTTCATATTTGTTTATAAAAGACCATCTCAAGGATGTCTCAGAGGATATGCATGCAGTCAGAGACCAGGATGAATTAAGCAAAAGCAAGGTACAAGGAAAGATTTTCACAAGCTTTTAAAAGGGATTTTGGAGCAAGTAGCCTGCTGAAAATTAATAACACATAGGCTTATTACTTTGGCAGACGTTTCGGTACATCTCCTCCACAAAGCTTAAACTGTAATGCGATATTAAAACTTCCCTAATTTTAAACATCTAATTAAAGGTATCATTTAGGTATGAAAGTAAGAGCCACCAGGAGGGGGGGTTAAAAATTAAAAATATATAAATTAAACCCGTACATGTCACATTCCATACTAGTATATATCATTTCATCTTTATGAACTTTTAATTTCTTCTCCTTTAATTATACAGTATTCTTTCTATATAGTCAAAGCTTCCTTTCCCT